AATTGTCGATGAAGCAAACGTATATCTGCTATCACAATCGACTACTATACTTTATTTTTAGAATTAAGTAGTTTTCGTGACTACCAGTAAATCAGTTTCGACTACCACTGAGGGTGTTGATAAGACTGAACGAGGTCGAAACTGCAGTCCACTGGTGCCTGGATGAGAACAACTTTTGGGAAAGCAAGGCTATGTGAAATTCAATGAAGCGTCAGCTCAACTCATATCATTGTGGGAAAATTCTACTACCAGTCCTTCATTACCTCAGACAAAATAGGGTGAATACATCTCATATTACTGGTTTACTGGTAGTCACGAGAACAATACTTAATTTAAAAGATTTACAAGCAAGCCATCAATGATTTCGATATGGGTGAATACAGAAATAAAAATAAATGAAAAAGTGAGCGCGAAGGGATTACTTTCAATTACTATTTTGATGAGTTCTAACTATGTCTAAAGGATGGCGCCTCCTACTGACAATGCAGGCGAACCTTCTGGGCATGTACAAAATCAAGAGTCGGATGCCGGAAATCATCATTAATACTATGGCAGAGGACCCTCCGACCACGGACAAACCAACGCTAGAGGGTTTAGTTCATTTGAGTGAAATTGGCTTTTCTCTGCACGGCTAAAGTTCGGTACTGCAAGTGCCGAGTACAGTACAAATGAAATGCTTGCGAATATGCCTGGCTAACTATCAGGAACTGGAAGAATGCAGAACAATAATGCAAGATCATAATATGGGGTTCTTTCTCCAGAATCCCAGAGGGAATACCCTTAAGTTGCAGAAGGGAGACCAAACTTTGCTCATAAATAATAAATATTTTCTGGGTTAAAAAGTATTTAGTAGATGACTTCAAAACCCGTGAAGTCTAATCCTTATTCCTAACTCTTATTTCCGCTTATTTGATTTTAAAAGAATAGCTCTTTTATAGGCGATATCGTGTTCGCTATATGAAAGCCTGGCGCCTAAAAACAACAGTGTAATCATACTAACATAAAAGCTGCGGTGAGATGGTTTAGATAGGACGGGCAATAATATAAAATGGATCTGAATGTCTTGCCGCTACCGCTAAAAGAGATAGTTGCATTTTTTCAACGGGAAATAAACAAATGAAATTTAACCAACTCCACTCAGGCATTAAGGACGACAGCAAGACAAGTTATTATGAAGCCACATGACGAGATACCATACTGCTCATATTATTTATAGAAGGGAGCATATAAATTGGGTTTCAAAGCTGGACGTGGCTCTTAGGTCCTTACGGATGTCGATTGATCATGAAAACTTCTATCGATAGTTTCTCGCCTCAACGTTCATGATTTATATACATTGGGCAGCTTCATCAGGCCACTAGTTAGGTTTAAGCAAAAGTTACCTGACTGAGAAAATGGAATGGGATGAAATTGCGCCCATACATTCCAGGGCAAGTCAAGCAGGTAAAAGCAAAAATTGATGGCTGTAACCAAAGGTGAGGTAAGATGATCGAAAATGCTTAATAGAAAGTGAAGGTGTTGGTTCGTACTTGTTTTCGCAAATTGGTCGGAGCGGCAGGATGACCTTGTGGAATGTATCTAGCCCCATGTCCTCTGCCATAGTATTAGTGATTTACAGCGCTAGACCAGTGGCTGGATACATTCCCAAACGCTTCGCCGACATCGTAGTCGGCATCGTCAGTGAGAGGCGCCATCGTGGGCACAGAATCACAACCTATCAACTGTTGTGGCATCGCTCCTCGTCTCTATTTTTTGCTCTACCTTCTAGTGCCGTATCTTTTTCTCTCAACCCCACTTCACATCGTTCATTCACCTATTCATACAATTCTATGCTCGCTTTTCCTCAAATGTCGTCTAAGAGTGTGTCGCTACAAGTGGGTTTAGTGAAGCGTAATAATCTACACTATCTGTACCAGATGCTGTTTGCAGGGCTGCCCCACTTTTTTTCTCATCCGCTTGTCAATTGGCAGCTGCTAAACCTCAAAACCACCGTTTGGCTGTCTGAAATCTGGCTGCCTAAGAACCCTCGATTCCCGTCCTCGATTACGTCCTATTCGAGGATTTAGAGCAGATGATACGCATGCGCATGCCCATGCTCATGTACATGCCAGCGCCTGGGATTCGTCCCCTCTCTAAGTTTCAATCCCATGACTCAATTATCCTCTTCCTCATCCCCACCCACATTTTGTCTCATTCTTTGGGGCCTTGTGTCCGGTTTGCAGTCTAAACTTTGAATCGCAAAAAACACACTCCTCTCATCTCTAGTTGACATTCCCATCTAAACCTAGGGTACTGTGAGGATGTTGATGCTTGCGTATTGGCTGGTATCTCCCGTGGTCAAGCCTGTCACCAGTCATCTCCTCTTCAGACACAGATACGAAAAATACACACAACACCTACAAGCAGACAAAGGAGGTGCCACAGTGCTGATGGGCAGGAAGGAATGTACAGAGAAAATGCAAAATACCCTCAGGGACACTACAATATATCGACTATTAACAAAAGAACCAACTATTAAAATCAAAGGGGCACTGCAAGAAATGCTGAAGGAAATTAATAAGAATGAGGAAATCGACAAATGGACAATGTACTCACTCGTAGGAAAGAATGCAAGAGCACCAGTAGCATACGGTTTGCCGAAGGTACGCAAATAAGGAGAGCAATTGAGACTGATAATCAACAACAAACATTGGCGAAGTTTATCTGCCTCAAAGTAAAGAAAGTGAATGACAGATTATCGAATATAGTGAAGAACTGATGCGAATTTTGCCGAAGAATCGAAGGCGCAAGGTTGGAAGAAAACGAAGTTTTGGTGAGCTCTGATGTACAGTACATGTACACTACGATCACAGGGGAAAAAGCATTCACCGCACTACTGGAGATTTTGGAGAAAGAAAAGGACATCCAGAAGACAGAACAAATGCTAACAATATGAACGACCTATTTCACGTTCAACGGCCGCATCTATGAACAAATATTTGGTCTGCATATTGGCTCACCACTTTCACCTCTTTTGGCTAATGTCCACTTAAACAAGCTGGAGGATAATTTTAGTATCACCCCAGCAGCCAGCAGTAGTTATGTGGTATTTGGATGACTACTTCGCAATTTGGTCGCATGGAAGAGAAAAATTAGATGATCTCTTTATCTTCATAAATTAAATGGATGAAAAAAATCAAATTTACAATGGATGTGGAAGGGAACGGACACTTACTGTTCTTGGATGTGGAGGTCATTAGCTCCGAGGAAACTCTCATGAAAAAACTTTTCCGAAAGAAATCGCATGCTGGAATAAAGCTTAATTTCCAGTCGAACCATACTTATGGAATACTCCGGAGTATGATCATAAGAAGCCTACAACTCACTGATTCTTAGTTCTGGGAAGAGGAACTCAGATGTTTCTTGAAAACGGATATCCAGAAGAAGCAATATGACGCAACATACGGATGGTGATGAACAGATGAAAGGACGGAGATTATAAAATGAAAGCAAGAGGAGTAGAAGAAAATTATGGATATGTCTACCCTCCTGCAAATTGGCTCAGAAGCTACGGCCAATACTAGGGAAATGGAACATTCGTACAATCCTGAAGGAAAGGACAATCTTCTTCACAAGCTTGCCCACACAACATGAAGAAATCAACAAAATGGAGCGCTCCGGAGTTAACAGCATAAACTGCAAGGAATGTGAACAAAAATACATCGGATAGACGGGAAAGACGATCAGCACCAGAATCAAAGAACACCAGCAGAAAATTGGATACGGAAAAATCGGAGATAGCTGAACACATCGCCGTTGTCGGCCACACAAATGACTGAAGTGAAACA